TGCGCTCGTTGGGTTCCCCGTGCCGCTCCTGCGGACTGCCCCGCAGGAGCGGCACTGAGATATGCCGAGTTGGCTGCCCATGATGCTGCTGCTGCTGTCACCGTCGGCGTGCGTGCACCACTGCTGGTTGCCCCACGATGGCCATAAACCACGAGACGTCATGGGAATAGACGACAGGCAACGGGGGAAAAAAAAAACTCTCAGTTCTCTACAACCGCGCGTTGAACATTTACTGAAGGATTCTAACCGGTGTATCGTTGACAGCTCGTGTTTATGCGTGTAAACATCAGCAACTGGGCGCAAAGACCAAGGTCAGCTCCTGGAGCCTCTGCTGGATACTGCCAGTTTTGCCCTGAGCTCAGTCCCACAACGTTTTTAGTTCCCCCCCCCCCCTACTTTGTGTTATTACAATTAAATGGCGATGACGCATTTATGGATCATTCGCTTAATTTTAAGATGTAAATCACCCTTACAGTCCCTACGTGTGGTGAGATTTCATTGTCCGCACAGAATCAGGGATGAATTAAAAAAATATATATAGCAGTTGTGCAAATGATGTATCTATGAATTAAGTAGCAGCAATACTGAAATTTTACATTCTTATACAGGTATAGCATGGGATCTCAAATATCCACGAAGTAAAAATGTCTATCAGGGGTGGAGTGGTGGCGCAGCGGTTGGCACACTATGCGATGAACCCGGCGACCTGAGTTCGATTGCCGTCCGCAGCTAACATATCTGTACGAGTGCTGGGCGCTCCCTTCACAAACCCGCAATTGCCACCGTCTGTGTATGTTGAACTTCACTCGCACCGTACGTAGCCAACCGTGACAATCGTATGTTAAATCTTGATTTGAAGCTTTCGCGACTGCATGAATCCATACTCTTTGGTTCGTTCGGTAAAGTCACGTAGGTATAAAATAAAATACATCACGACGTTTCGATCGCAACACAAGCGGTGGTCCTCAGGCAGAAAAAATAGAATCCAGCCGTGGAACTAGTTCGGCAGCTAGTTAGTTCAGCAGTGGAACTAGCTAGTTCAGCAGCTAGCTAGTTCAGCAGCTAGCTAGTTCAGCAGCTAGCTAGTTCAGCAGTGGAACTAGCTAGTTCAGCAGCTACCTAGTTCAGCAGCTAGCTAGTTCAGCAGCTAGCTAGTTCAGCAGTGGAACTAGCTAGTTCAGCAGCTAGCAAGTTCAGCAGCTAGCTAGTTCAGCAGCTAGCTAGTTCAGCAGCTAGCTAGTTCAGCAGCTAGCTAGTTTAGCAGCTAGCTAGTTCAGCAGCGGAACTAGCTAGTTCAGCAGCTAGCTAGTTCAGCAGTGGAACTAGCTAGTTCAGCAGTGGAACTAGCTAGTTCAGCAGTGGAACTAGCTAGTTCAGCAGATAGCTAGTTCAGCAGCTAGCTAGTTCAGCAGATAGCTAGTTCAGCAGCTAGCCAGTTTAGCAGGGATACTAGCTAGTTCGGCAGCTAGCTAGTTCAGCAGCTAGCTAGTTCAGCAGCTAGCTAGTTCAGCAGCTAGCTAGTTCAGCAGATAGCTAGTTCAGCAGCTAGCTAGTTCAGCAGTGGAACTAGCTAGTTCAGCAGCTAGCTAGTTCAGCAGCTAGCTAGTTCAGCAGATAGCTAGTTCAGCAGCTAGCTAGTTCAGCAGATAGCTAGTTCAGCAGCTAGCCAGTTCAGCAGCTAGCCAGTTCAGCAGGGATACTAGCTAGTTCTGCAGCTAGCTAGTTCAGCAGCTAGCTAGTTCAGCAGATAGCTAGTTCAGCAGCTAGCTAGTTCAGCAGTTACACTGCTGGATTATATTTTTTCCGCTTGAGGACGACCGCTTGTGTTGCGATCGAAACGTCGTGATTTATTTTATTTTATACCTACGCGACTTTACCGAAAGAACCAACGAGTACGTATGTTAAACCTTTCTCCTCCGTTAATGTTGTGTCTGCTGCTGTGAGTCAAAAAGTAAACAATTGTTTTCCTGTGTCTAGCCGATGCAGACACTGGCCCCCTACCAAAGGAATAAGGAATTTCCACACTCCAGGCTCAGGACTACCAAAGATTGGGGCAGGGAGATATTTAGAATTTTTAACATCTTAAACAAGAATGCACCACCCCCTCCGTCAATACAATGATGAATGATGGTTTCCCCAGACCATGTTTGTCATTGGGGGTTGTTTGACCACACGTATCCATGCTGGTCAGCGCCGTTTGCTAAAGGAGAGGACCTATAATCGATTAAGCTGTCACTCGCTACTGATGTTATTCGTGGCTGGGAATCAAACTCAGGTTGCTGGGGTTCACAGCGCAATACCCTAACCACTGCGGTACCACTTCCCCATTCATTTTTTTTTTTTAGTGTTTTTTACTGCACGATTTTTTATCAATTCATCACGATGTAGAAGGGAGTGTGACTTTAGCTGTGTGTTTAAAGTGTGCATTGACACCTGTGCCAAAATCGTACATGTAAAATGACGATAATAAGTGGTGATGGTGGTTATTAAGTCCCATTGTGGCAATGCCAGCTTTCCCAATTCTGCTTCACACAGAAACTGATTTTAACACCTAAGTGCTGTCTGTAACCCAGCCTCGTACCACCAGCTACCGAACTGTGGCAATGTTAAGGACACAAAATTGCATGATCATCATTGTTACTTGTAAATGCAATGCATTATTTAATCAATGATCTCTGAAGATAGGGTCCCTTACATCTCCGCATAGAAAATATGCAGCACGAATGTTAGCAAAAAAATATTACGTAATGCGCAGACCAAAATAAAATGTTGATTTCGAAATAACATGCAGATAAATAATGCAGCTTTAGTGCAGAAACACAGACGGGGAACATGTAATGGCACGAATGGAATACAAATGTAATATCCTGGAATTTTGTGTGGGCCACAATGACTTCTAATATAATTGCAGTTCCTAAAAAAAAAACACAAGTTGCCGTATAAAATCAACGTATTACATTTCCTCTCAGCATTTTCATTTCTCCTCTGCACCGCAAAACATGCCGGCGATAAAATCAGGCATCGTCGTACGCTTTAAATTTAGCGGTGCAGAGAAGGAAGTTTTTTTTTGTCCGAAACAGACTTCACGTTCGCTCACTGTGCCCTTTTTTTACACATTCACTTCGTTGTGGATTTTCTTCTTTTAATTCCAAACAACTTGATCTTTACAAGTGTGCCTGTTCCAAGGTCCCCCCCCCATCTCCTTCGGGGTGTTTCAGAATTCCACGTGTAAGTTTTATTTGGGTGTCTCTCTCTCTCTCAGGCTATGTCTCTCTCTGCGTTTCTATTAGTGTCTGTCTCAAGCTACATCTTTCTGTTTACGACTACGTCTCTCATTGTCTGTGTTTGTCTTATGAGTGTGTGTGTCTCTCTCTCTCTCTGACCGTACGTAAATTATAGTGTCTGTACCTGGTGCTTCTTTTGTTTATATCTCTACCTCTGAGTGTCTCGTTTTCTCCATCTCTCTCTGTCTCTATGGCCCACAAATCCCCAATTGGTGTCTAAAACTCCTGAGTGCATTCAATTATAATTTACAAAACTCTCACACTCTCTCTCTCTCTCTGCATAATCGTGTAGAAAACATCACGGTGTTTTTATGCAAATTTATATTTTGCAAGGCAGCTCTTTGGATCTCAGTGGGTGCTCACTAAGTTCACGTACCTCTATGATGCCAACATGCTGCCAATGGATGCACGGACACTCGCTCCGATTGCGCAATGATAATTCACTGTGTAAGAAAAAAAATTGTCCCTGGGTAGTAAGTGTTATTTCCTAATTGGTTATGCCTCAAAAGTGCAGAAAATGGCTATTATTCCCCACAAACTTTGCTTCTGTGACCAGGACAGTGATATTTTGAAATGTACCTATTTTCAATGAGAAAACGTGTGCATTTGTGCCATTCCTTCACGTAAAGTCCTGGTTACAAAAGCAAAGTTTGTGGGGAATAATAGCCATCTTCTATACTTTTTATACACCAGGTCCTCATTTGAGGCTGAGTCGACCTAGGGGTGGCCCAGGACCGGTTCAGAAAATCGTCACTGGTGTTGGTCGTGAGCGGGAATCGAACCCGGGTCGCCAGGTTCGTAGCGCAGCACGCGAACCGCTACACTACCGCTCCCCACACACACACACATTGACCCACACGCTGCCACTGACCCAGGTCAAAAAGACACAATGGCATAATATGGATCCTCGCAAAATGTTGCACACACTGAACCAACGCTGATATTGGCATGGTAACATAATGCAGGCTACACTCTTTAACAGTGACACACAGAGTAACCTATGCACTATCAACCCTGTATAGCCTTCAACAGACTGTTGAAGTGCTACTTGCGAGCGCGTCTTTTAAAGCCGGAACAGCACACGAGGGGGTGGGTGGCCAGTACCACGCCCGGTCGGGTCAGCTTTGCATCCCCAATGCCGATGTTTACACACGGCACCAGGTACAGGGCTCATTCAAGGTTGAACCGATCTGGGGGAGGCCCAGGACCGGTTCAGATATTCGTCACCGATGTTGGCAGGAATGTAACTCCGGTTACCAGTTTTGTAGCACAGTGCGCTGATCACTGCACCACCGCTCCCCACTAACTCTAACACAAAGACACCTCACCCTAACGCACACTCAAATTATTCGGTGGCAATGCATTGGCAGTGGTCCGCAATCACAAATAACAACAAAAACTCACATCCGTCAATAACATTGCCTTTAAAAAACGAAAAAAGATATAGACGTCGTTTCAGGCAATGGCCCATTTTCATTACAACATTAATCAACGATACATGTGCGGTGGCTATTCGTCATTGCACACAAATCTGAAGAAGGCCCATTGCCCGAAACGTCGTTTTATACGTTTCATTTCCAAAATATTGAATACCGGAGGAATCCGATGAGCTCTGAAGCTCTTTTTACAACACAGTAAAGTCACACCCTGTGCATCAACCCCCCCCACCCACCCACCACCACCACCACCACGACGACACCCGACATCGCCTCTGACCGTGGGCCTGCGCCAACTGCACCGCTGGTCGCGCAGGGAGGGCCCCAGCACTGCGTCCCCTGCGAGGAAGTCGCGGTCCACGTAGAGGGAGCCGTTGCGGAGGCAATCGGCGCGCAGCTCCGCGAAGCGCCGCGGGGCGCACCCGGGCGGCTCCTGCAGGCGCTCGGCGCGGCTGCGGATGGCGCTAGCGCTGGCGCGGTACTGGCGGTGGTGCTGCTCCACAAACTGCTCCAGACGGGGCGCGCACGGCGACTGGGGCAGGTCGTCCACGATGTAGAAGAACGGCATCGTCTCTTCCAATCTGCGTGCCGCCGCCGCCGCCGACGACGACAACTTCTGTTGCTGCTACCACGGGGCTCGCCGTGTACCCTTGTAGCCCACCGCAGTGTGCTGTGTGTGTGTGTGCTGTGTACGAGTTGGTACGTGCAACTATACGCGTGTGTGTGTGTGTGCGAGTTGTGTGAGAGTTGTGTGTGTGTGTGGAATTCTGGCCACGACCAACCAACCCTCTTTGGTTGCCGGACTGATCTTAATAGGTGCTTGCCAATAGAACTTGTTCCAATAGTCTGTTAAAGGCTATGGTGGGTGTTGTGTCTCGCTAGCTGCACTTACCCCAATAGTCTGTTAAGGTTTTCGGGGAGGGGTCTTTGTAATTTGAGAGTATGATCGTGCTGCTGCTGCTGCTGAAATACCTCAATGTGTATTTTTGTGTATGTCAAAATGTGTACGTGTATTTCTTGATGTGTGTGTCTGTAAGCTCTCGACCTATAGATTCGTGTATTTATTTATAGAATGGGTACCTCTAGATAGCCTATTTACTAGCAAGAAGGTGTATTTTGCCGAGATTGATTTTATGTAGTTTAGTGCACACGTGTATATCCTAGACGTGGGTATATCCCAGAATTGTATGTATCCTAGAATTGATGTGCATCCATACACTATGTCTGTGTACGTAGTCGACTTGCCTGACGACTTGATATGTATGTGTGGATGTTTATAGTTGTAGACCTATAGATCGCACAGATTATGTATCGATAGCCTGCAGCTATCGATACATTGTCGTGTGCTGCCTGTTCACCCAGATTGCCGAGTGTTTCTAGGTAACACCCCTATGTTGTTATTATTATATGGCAATGCGTGTTTAAATTCCTATGTAAGTAACGTGCAAGTGCAGCGTGCATATATAACATCGGTAACACGTACCCCCATATACCTAAACCGGTCTTGCAAGGTTACATTTCCAAATGGAGCGGTTTCTCAACGCACGAATCGCCAACGAAATACATCTGACGCGATGTTGTTATCGAATTTCAACACAATGAAGTATACGTTCGTACATTTGTCATTGTGATTTAAAACAAAAATATTAATGTAAAAAAAGTCTCGCCGCAATTCGGTAAACAACTTAATCTGGCCACCAACACGCGACAATTGTGTTGACAAATTCTGACGGTGTTGGTACGGACCTCTTGCGCGCTGTGGTTGCCCTCCACGTGTCGGAGGAGTCGCCTTCGACCGCGGTATTCAATAATCACCAACCCAGCCCTAGACGGCTTACAACAATAGCCCACGCCAGCCGTGCTGTAAACGCTATCGCCGCCCAAGGAATGGAAGAAGACGAAGACAAAACGCACACAACTGGCGTACGCTTCAGCTGTTTACCTACATCGGAGTACGCAACAGATTCATAAATAGTCACTCTTGAGTGTCCGTAACACGCGCGTAACCCGGTGTGATCTAGACTGCCGCGGGTAAGTGCATCCTACCATCTCAACTGGTGCTGTGTTGTTAATTTCCCTGCTGCTGCTGCTGTGTGTATGTGAATCGTGTAGAACCACGAGAACTGCATGCCCTACCTGCTCGCATCGGTGTGCGTGTACAAGCCGAACGCATAGACTGTTTGTCTAAACGTCTCTCTCTCTCTCTCTGAACTGGTGCGCCTATATGAAAACAACGGATAGCCTACCTATGGCGCGTGCATTGGGTGCTCGTGAATATAGCCTCTGTCCTATGTTAGGTCGCGTGTCGTGGGGGCACAACAGCCCGTGCAGGAAACAATGACCGCTCTCGGCTCCCTTGGTGTAGCAGCAGCAGCAGCCTCTCCTGCAGCACTCCCCCCGAGTGTCGCCGTGGTGGTGGTGGTGGTGGAGAAGGGACGAGCGCTTGAGAGACGGGGGCTAGAGGATGGTGTTCGTTGCTCCGGCCACTTGCGAGTGAAATAAATAAATAAGTACCGGGAAGAGAGGGAAGGAGGGGGGAGAGGCAATAAAGAGAAGTCCCCGCGCTCGCTTCTCATCCAAAGGCGGCGGGGGGGGGCGCTGCTGCCTCCTCGTCCCCCCTTCACGGAGGCTCCCGCGTGAGTGGCTGGAAGGCAGCCAAGTCAGACAAGGTTCTAAATATAGAGCAGTGTGGTGTATCCTAGAGCGCTGTGGTGTATCCCCAACACCCACCAACACAGCACACGCTTCGTGGAGGCGCCATATGGGTGTGCTATGAAGAAGGGCCTTTTGCCCGAAACGTCGACTGTTTGTTTTTCCATCGACGAATGTGTTGTTGCCTTTAATGACGTCACGCGATTTTGCACGATTTTTTTTACCCCCCCCCCCCCCTTCGTCACGGCGTCACAAAAAGTCAGATCCCATCCTTAAATATGACGTCACAAAGCTCCCCCCCCCCATTAAATAAACATGCTTCAAATCGCTTTAGACTATTGTCATTGTAGTGTGTATTTAATGTAGGGAAAAAAACATTAAAAAGTCTAGTTAAGTAGAACGCGTTGTCTATATTTATTTAAAGTTGCGCATTTTGATGTGACGTCACATTTCTCAGCCCCCCCCCTCGTCACACATCGTCACAAATGTCTGACCCCCCACCCCCAGGTGCGTGACGTCATTTATGGACGGTCCCCTATAGCGCGATACCACCACGCAGCACATCCAACACAACACACACATGGCAGAGGAACTCGGGAAGTGGGGTAGCCTATAACAACAACCGCCATTCGCCACTAAGTGGCGGTGACGTCTCCACGGCGCTTGTGCCAGGCTAGGTGCACGTTGAGGCCACGTGAAGTGTCGAACGCCCGCTGGCAGGAGGTCACGGGGCAGACCCAGCAGGTGTTACGGGTCGACTGACTGAGATGACTGGCAGCCTATATGACCACCCACACATACAATACTAATACACAAAAAACGAGTGATACTGCACAATAAAAATAACATAACACGGGGAAATGAAATATACACTCTGAAACGTCGCCTATTGTATCTTTTTTTCACCCCGAGGACAGTGCTATGCACAAACGTGTTGAGTTTTTTTAGTTTTATATATAAAAACGAGCAGCGGTCGCATCTAAGAACCGACCGTCCGTCCGCCCTTCCCTCCAGCCAGCAAAACTTATTTAACATAGTGTGATACACGAGAGGCGCTGTCTACACCCGTAATGATGCGATACACAGGTGAGGCACTGGCACTGCGAATACCTGTGCAGGCGCACATGTAACACATCATCATTCATAATTTACAGACCATTGTCAGTCCACTGCAGGATCAATGCCTCCCCACGCCATTGGAGTCATGGACGGGTATTTGTTTTACTATACTTCACCACGCTGGTCAGTGCGAGATGTTGAAGGCGGGGGACATAGACGAACAGTACAACAATTGATTTGTCAGTATCGATGCATGAATTGTCACCTATCGTGGCTAGCAGATTTCGACATTGGCATATCGATCGTAATTGATGTGTATGTATATTATAGTGATATTTATAAATAAATATTGTATATAGAAAACACACATGAAGAGTATATGGATCAATAAACATTGAAGTGATGTCCTATATTAAACCATTACTTGATGGTGTCATTGACGGTCATGCGTGGGCTGATGTAAGTGACAGTGATGTTCTAGAACAGCGGTCCCCAACCTTTTTGGCATCAGGGACCGGTTTCGTGGAAGACAATTTTTTCACAGACCGGGAGGGGGGGTGTTCATCATTGGGTCTTTCCCCCATTTCAAAGAAGCTCTCCAGCGACGTTTGTGTTTTACTCATTTTCGCTAGGGTTAGCTTGTGGGCTTACCAAAACTGTGACTGCACAGTGCGGGAACGAGACGCGGACGGAAGTGTTCAATAATAAAATAATGGGGGCGGCCCACGCGTGGACTCACCGCTCCCACCTCCTGCTGTGGGACCCAGTTCCTAAAAGGCCACGGACCGACACCGGTCCGCGGCCCGGGGGTTGGGGACCCCTGTTCTAGAAGGTCTAGAAAGCTGAAATTAAATATAATTTAGTCTATGGATATTACTGTCAGATTTTTTGCATAAAAAGGGTACATTTTTGGCAATGACATAATTGGAGTGCGCAAAGATTTTGCCCACTCCCGTCGATAAAATGATTTACAAAAGTATGAAATGTTTGTACACCCCAAAATGAAATGTGTTGAATCTAAATACGTAATCAATATGTGATAAATTGGTTCCCCAAAATTCAAAGCAAACATATTAAATGTGTTTTGTTTTTTAATCTAGGCAATTTAAAGTTTGTATCTAGTAGTTTTGAAGGATGTAAACTCCAAAGATGAAATACGATTTAAAAAAAAAACCTAATCTTCTGATAATTTGTTTGTTGCAATCTGTAGAAGTTGAAGGGTGCTGAATCAAGATACGATACATGTTATCATAACTCTATTCCTGGGGTATTTTTATTTTTATTTTAAAGAGGGGTGACGTTCAAGCTCAGAACTGGCCAAAGCCCGTTACCAAGATCCTCGTCCAGTACCTTTTACATTCACATCTATACTGCGTCCCATTACTGTACACGCATTGGTATTCAACTGCATGTGCAGCCAGTTCACGTGTGTGCGCACAAAGAATCGATAGGAGGAATCAGCCTCAAAAGAGTACCTCCTGCAGTGTGCAAACATCGCCATTCGGGAGACAAAGGCGGTCGGGCGTTATGCTTGGCCACCCACTCCCTTGAGTGCCGTGCTGACTTTTATAGGTGCTCACTAACAGCTCTTGTCCCAAAAGTCTGTTAAGGCTATACGGGGGAGCTTCGTCTTTTGCACGATAGATCTCCATCCGCCAAATGTGTTTTTTTAACCCCCCATCGAATGGCTCTACAACAACACTGCTGTTTCCAAGTGCATTTGTTCTACAATGTTTTAGTTTCATACTGCAGTGACATAACATGAATAGGTATGAATATTTACGTATAGAAAAAAACATTGCTGCATAATACATGGGGCATTTCTATTCCCAGGTCCTATTTTGGAAATGGGAGCGTTCTGTTTAAATTTTGACATGATTTAAAGTTTAAATGTAAACAAACTACACTACGGTATCTGTGCGTACATGCATGTAGGGTACTGCATGTATATACGGCACCGTTGGCAACTCTTCTTTTTAACAGCGACTTAATATGGCCACTGGAAGCTCGTGCTCATATTGTAAGGTTACTTTAAATTCGAATGATTATGATCTGAAACTATGATGAGTGCATTGAACGGAACCACGTCTGCTGGAAGACAACAGTAGTTTGTCCTCAAGCGATGCCGGCTTTCACCTGAGCAATGTGGCCTTAATACCCATTGGCTCAGGGTTGGCAAGACAGGAGGATGAGTCCCATCCTGCAAACGTTTGACCCACAGGACCACTTGAACTTTTCAGCGATATATATAAAAAAATAAGACCTACGTGCGTAAAAACAGAGTTGGTGTTTGCGGACATGAGAAAAAGCGAATGCATTGCCCATTTGGCCGTGGCTATTAACAAACATCGCAATGAGCCTCCAGTTTCCCTTAGAATTGTCGCGATTGGAGCATTGTAGGAAACTGCATTGACTTACCACAACACTATTTGTTCACTGGTTATTTAAATAAGTTATGTATCCAGGAAGGCCTCTCCGAGTCATAAGGCTATCTTTCAAAAGGGGGCATTTGGGATGTTTGGCTAATTATGTAATTAGTGTACCTGCACAGATAGGTCACTTATTATATTTCCCACTCACAGCCAACAACAGTGACGTTATATCCGCACCTCCGATTAGCACGGTTGGCTACGTACGGTGAGAAAAAAGTTAAACATACGTACATCTGTAAGGCTGCTCTTATCAGTGTTTAGCGAGTCTGCTAAGTGAACTACTTGATAAAGGTGCCCTCGGCGTGGGCTGTTGTGCAGTGAGCTGCAGATACGTATACAATTACAAATTGTACACACAAAGATGCTGGTTCGAGCGACACATGCACACAACATGGAGATTCATGTCCACACAAACATACACGATAGTAATTTACCTGTAAATCCGAGTGCAGTACGTACTTGCAATGTCACATCGGTTGAGCACATTCAGATGAAGCTATTGTGTGAAATTGGCAGTGGAATGCAGTATAGCAAGTAGGGTTTGACAATTATTTTTTTACAGTGGCGCTTGATTGTGCTTTCACCAATATGGATTTATTGGGCCATCTGGCTTCCACCCACATGACCACAGTACACGGGGCTTAATTTGTCAGTGAATATTTCCAGGTCGCTGGTGGACTGGACCAGGCATGTGTGCGTAGACACAGATATAGGAGCGAGAGGTATGATGGATGTGGTGTGTTGGGTACAAACATAATATTTCACAGGTCGCCGACCCAGACAGATCCAGATGAGATTAAGTTCTGCATGTAATGCCTTGAGGTCAGTCTTTTGCTGAATAAAGGCCTTCCGTTGCCGAGTAGGTTGTGGGGGTTATTTGACCATACTTCACCATGCTGGTCAGTATGGATTGGCATAGAAGAACAGCACAACAATATATGTTGCTACACTGCCTTTCCAAGCTCAAATCTGCTTAGCTTCCCAGCTCTAATGAGATCGGGCACATTCCGAACGATATGGTCATGGGCTCATCCCACATATAGTACAGCAAATGTGAAATGTACTCACGAAAAAATTGACCAATCTATTCGAGCACAGAGCCCTTTTGAAAAAAACGCGCAAGCTTTCATGAACAAGAAATAAATAAGAAATACAAATGAACTTGGTGTGATGCTCAGGCTAGAACTTTCATTACCACACACACACAGTACATTTACACAAGTGCATTACAAATTATGGAGCATATGTTGACAACAAAAAAACTATGAACTCGCCCGTGGCACATATAGTAAATCAGTGTTCGTGCTATCCAAAATATTCTGTACATTAAAAAAAACCCTCCACTGCAATTCTAGCATGATATCTCCATAATACATTGTACCCTCGTTATTCGCGAGGGATACAATCTGGAGATGCATGTGGATAGCAAATATCGCCGATCATGATATTGACCTGCCTCAAAATAAATACACAAATTAAACTATTAAATACACGAACGGTATCATAATAACGCAGTCAAAAATTGCAAAAGTAAACAAAGTAAGTAAATAAAAAAATGTATATG